GGTCTGAAAGAATTTTAAACGAAGAGTTAGATGCAAACCATAAAGCATGAGTGAATTAGAAACATCAAGGCTAAGTGATTACCGTTGGAATTGGAACACTGGTTGTTGTTGGTGTTATTGTTGTTGTTGTGGTTGCAGCAATAGTGGTTGTTTCGGGTGGAGTCACCTTGTCAGTAGTTTCGATGGAGGCTTGAGAGGCACTCCCTTCTTTCGACTTCGAGGCAGCTGTCTTTATCCTGATGGCTGAAAATCGAAACAATTAAAGTAAAGGTTAAAGATATGGAAAATAAAAGACATTTGGGATTTTCCCAAGCATTCGCACCTGTGCCTTGATCAGATTTAATTGACATGGCAGAAAGGTCGTATCGAAGGTGTCCTGGGAAATCATGAAGCCAATATCGAGCCCATGTCACAGTCTCAGATGGCTTTGGTTTCCTTTGAAGATATTTGAACATCTCTTTGCAAGTAAACCACCATGGATATGGGGGAAACCAAGCCAGAGCCAGTTCTGAGGTAGGTAATCTGGGAAATTTAGGTGGATGCATTTCGAATGCCAACCTATACCTATCCTCAGGTGACAGCCCTGAAGGAAGTTTTAACTTAGAAACTTTTTGTTTAAATTTTTCCTTCAAGGTCTCAGCTGCTTGATGCACAGTGGATTCCAAGCGCGTGGGGTCATAAGTAGTTTCAAAATAATTTTGGAAAGCTTTAATCTCTTTGGCATGAGTAAACATACCTTTCTTTGTTGGTACCTGCACATCGAAGGCATCAATTAGTTTCTGTTGAATTGTAAGTGTATCGAACATATAAGTTTGATAAAACTTGGTCCACCATTCCAGAAATCCTTTAGCCGTGAGATGGGTAGGTTCGAAGGTTATCAGCTCAAATTGGGCAAAGCCTTGATATTGTTCTTGCTGTATTTTGGCTTCTCGTGCCTTGAAAGTTCGTCCAGAAGTGATGGCGCTCTCAGTGTGAAATAAAGGTTCAGGAATCAGTTGGCATAAGCCAAACTGCCTCGAAACGAAGTTTGGTTGGTAGGCAAAGAGAAAAATTTGGTTCTTGGCTGGGGTTATTCTTGAAGAAATGAGTCTAGGCAGCAAAAAAGCTCTCCATACATCCTGAATCTCCTTGCTCTTGATGGCTTCTGAGAGAGCCATGGTGAACCAAGAAGGTCCATGAGCCCTCGAAGCAAAAGGCGCCATGCTCTCTTCGAACTTGTGCCTTTTGGAGAATATCATGATGTACTTCGAGAATTGAACTTTGAAGTCATCTTTGTCATCATTGGGCGTTAATCTTCGAAGCCTAGTGCCTTCGACTATCCTATCATTTATCTCAGAATCTTGCTCATCAAGGGTGTTGGCGGTTGATAAGGAGGGTTCGAACATGGCATTTAGCCATAGTTGGAGTAACCAAAAAGGGCCAGCCAATAGAATATTTTTGGAGGTGTGGGATTTGAGGCTCGAAACAGCTGACCTCAGGCTTTCATAGAGGTCAACTAAGAGCAGTTCACTTAGGCACACTTTTCGGTTTTCATGCAAGTCCCTGGCTAGAGGAATGAACCTACTAGCTACCTGTAGGGATCTACTGCAGAAAATGTATCTTGACAGCCACAGGGTTAAGAAAGCAATATGCTCTACGTCAGACACATTGTCCCCCTCAGCATGGTAATGACTGATAAATTTGGAAAAACTGGCTAGCTTGACTTCGAAGTCAATTATGCTTGAGTGTTCTTCGTTGTCGGGTATATAAGTTTCTCTCACTGGCGATAGCCCAGTGATGGCCGCTATGTCGAAGAAGGTTGGGGTGATCATTCCACCTGGGAGATGGAAAGTGTTATAGGTACTGTCCCAGAAATAAAGGGACGCGAATAACAGAGGGTGGCTGTAGGTGAAACCAGGCTTCGATAGCTTAATCAGGTTATAGATGCCTAATTCTTCCCATTGCTGGGATTTCTTAGCTTCTACTTTCGTGAACCAATTTTGATAGGCAATATCAGAGGTGGGGCAAGATCGAAATGGCTTAAAATTACTTTTTACATAATCCAAAACAAAGGGGTCCTTAGGAGGAACAGTTGGGGTTTCTATGGTATTTGAACTAGGAGATTCTACTGCCTTAGGGGCGTCCATTTTGTTAAATAAGGGTTTGAAGCTATAACAAACTAGGAAAATCGTCCTGGTGTCTTTTAATATTTCAAAAACCGTAAGAGGGACATTTAAAGCTAACCTCTTACCAACAACATTGGTAGGAATGAGTACCTGTGACGCATACAACATTTCTTTTTCTTTTGAAATCATCTGAGGGGCAAGAACGGATTGACCTTGGTGAGTGATGATTTTACTTTCCATGGTAGCTCCTGCAGTTTTTCCTTTCTTCTTGGAGACTTTCTTGAGTTGGAATGAAGTAGAACAAGACATTTTTGAAAGATGTTGAAAGCTTGGATTTTTGTTCTTACGAGAGAAGGAGGGTAAAAGATTTAGAGTGTGAAAAGAAAAGAAAAGATTAAGTTGGTGATGTTTTATAATGGGGAAGTTTAAGCATCCACCGAATAAGGGTGTGATACGTGGAGATCATGGGTTGGTGTGATGAAGAGGTGGCGTGAAGTTAACATGGGTAATAGGCGTGATTTAAAGATAATCATTATTTGTAACTGCACCATGCTGTGAAGTGGCTCCAGGCGGTTAAGGAATCCAAAAGGTGTTATGATTGACGTGACTGGAGTCAAATGCATTAAATGTTATGATGATTCGAAAGTCCCATCAAAATCTTGTGTAGGTGTTTAAAATAGGTATTTCTCAGAGGAATCGAAATACATATTTTAAAGGGGCAATTTGTTGGCTGAAGATTTTGATAATGTTATTAGAAGCCAAATGAATTAAACGTTTTGATCGAAATGAGGTAAAGCGTCATGTTTCGAAGTAGCAGAAGCAGTGTTTCAAATAAGTATGTCAAAGCTTGGAGCTTCGAGTGGCAATTATGGGAACATATCTAAAGAAGTCTCGAAATAACAAGAAGGCTGTGTCTGGGAAGAGCGTTCGAAACGGAGAAGTACCAAAGCATTTGAAATTCAAATGGAAGCGGGACTTTCGAAGTTTGAAAGTTATGTACTGGAGCAGTTGGGGACACGTGGAAAGACGAAAGAGGCATTGTCCTGCATGTTTTAAACGTGGCATAATCCTATAGCAAGACCGTTATGGTCGAATTAGTATAAATAGAAGTCTTAGTATTAGGATTTCGTGTGTCATATCTATTATACAAAATACTCAGTAACATTCAAACTACCACATGACAAGGGAAACGAATGCAAGAGAAATGTATGTATGATAGCACCATGTATTTCTGATTTAATGAAAACCTTTTACCATTTCCAGCACTTTCCTTTATCCTTTTGTCAAATGACATTTACAAATTTTCTCATTTACAGTCCTTTCACTTCGAAATCTCTTCTTCAAAGTTTTACATTTTAAAGTTTTCTTCATATTCCAAGCACTTTATATCTCAGAAAACTGTCATATTTTCCATACCTTTACCTTCAAGTCTTATCCTTCGAACGCATATTTTTACTTAAAGTCATTTAAAGATTTCTTGCATTAAACGCTTTCTTCATATTTCAAACCTTTTACGTTCCAGAAATCCTTTATATTAACTGTTTTGTAAGTCGAAACCATTTACTTCACTTTTATGCAATTTTACATGTCTTTACAATTAACATTTATTCGTGTAAATTAGTTTCACACACACATTTTGATTACATCTTTAGACTTTTAGAGAGAGATCGAAATAAGCCAAACACATATACAATATCAACCATGAATATTTGTTCGATCGTGAGAGTAACCTTAATATCCAAGGAGTCCTAGGATCAATCTAGTCGATCCTGTGAGTTACCAGAGGAATTGAATAACAGTCAGAAAGATTATTCGATAGTTTGGAAGACTAGCGGTTATTTACCAGAAATCACTGGAAACAACGTCCCCATAACGAGCTTTCAACACCATGAGCAATAAGGCATTTTGACCTTGCAAAATTCTCCACCGCCATTTATTAAGAAGGGCCAAATTGAAGTCCGACAAATTTTTAATGCCTAAACCAACCTTCTCCAATAGTAAAGTAACCTTTCTCCAACTAACCCAATGGATCTTCCTCTTTTCCTCCACACCTCCCCAAAGAAAATTACTTTGGATTCTAATGAAGTCTTTCACCACCTTCACCGGCATCTTGTAAAAGGACATAGTGAAAATAGAAAGAGAGAACAAAATAGATTTTAGAAGAGTAATTCTCCTACCGAAATTAAGAAATCGATTCTGCCACCCTCCAAGACGCTTTTTCATCTTACATAATAAAGGATTCCAAGTAGATATCTTCCTAGTTGGACCCAATAGAAATACCAAAAAAGACAAAGTTATTCCCTTCAACCTTATAAGATAACACATAAGAGGTGGCTTCTAAAAAATTATGACTAAAATTAATTTCAGTTATATATAAATAGTTATTATATCTATTTAATAAAAGTGTTTCACACGCTAACATGTTTAAATATATTTTATACAATATCAAATAAATTAATGGATATTTTAGTAGTTAGTTAGAAATAGTTTGTGTATTCTTTCGACATTAGATCATTAGCTGTAATATTATAATACTCGAACTCGTGCATTTTAAAGTTAAAGATCAAACCTTAAAAAGACTGAGTTTTGATGTACACGTAATCCATTGGCCATTTATGTTAATACCTTAACAAACAGCTAAACATTTATTTATAGATAAACATCCAATATTAAAAATCTGCGATCCAGATCAGTTTGTCCCCAATAAAGTTCAACAAATAAGGTCCCTCATTATCTCCTCACACGTGCAACATAAATAATCTCTCAACTCTCACACACTCACCTTCATCTTCTCACTTCCTCACCTCAAAATTTTCATTTCATTGCATAGCTTTTTCTTTTTCACTCCTCTCTCAAACACAACCAACACTTAAACCTAAGCAAACACAAAGAAAAATGTCTAGCTCCAAAAAGAAACTAACCTTAAACTCTGTATCCATAAACCTTGGTTGTGGAACATGTAGAAAACCAAAACTAAGTTCCATATTCAACCCAAAACTAAAACACAAAAAACCTCACATTCATAACAACTCTTCATCTTCTTCTTCAAATTCAAATTCAAACCCTTGGAGACAACGAGCCAGAGACAATACCGAAACTTCAAGTAGCACTAGCAACACTACTTTACCAACAACAAAAACATCATTCGACTCAGACAAATCATCATCATCATCATCATCATCACTGAAAGGCTTTGGAAGAGTCGGAAACGAAGGAGTAGCGGTTGAGAAAGATTCAGATGATCCTTATCTTGATTTTCGTCATTCTATGTTACAAATGATATTGGAGAATGAGATATGTTGTAAGGATGATCTTAGAGAGCTTTTGAACTGTTTTCTTGAGCTGAATTCGGTGGAACATCATGGGATTATTATAAGGGCTTTTACTGAGATTTGGAATGGAGTTTTTTCAGTTAAGTCTGGTTTTTCACCTGGGTTTCATCTCAAACCGTAAGTCACGTGACTTCTAGCTTCTCACGTGGATAACCAGATGTATAAATAAGTGTTTTTGTTAAGGATGTAATGTAAATCAAATTGAAAAAAAATGCAATGCATCTATCTGTTTGTTTTCGGATATGGTCAAAAAAAAGTTTCCAACTTGTCAGGCATTGAGTGTAATGCAGTGGTGTGAAATATAGGCATTGGGATTTGAATCACGGATTCACAATTGTATGAATGGTCCTTTTTTGACCCTATTCAAGTATCTGTATTTTATTTATTTTATTTCCATTTAATTATGCGTACATTCAAGTTTCATTATTTTGTGTAGTACATGCATTTAGTTTCTCTTTGCATTTACTTGGGCATTAAGCACACAAACTAGAAACACACAAACCTATTTGGTTAATGGAAGATAGAGGCCCGCCACAAAAACACTATAGTGGTATGGCCGCTACATCGAAGTTTACAGAATCAAATAGAAGTAGTTTATAACATGAAATATAGGGTAAAAACAGAAGAATACACAACATTGAAGACATATTTATAACTAATACTCAAAGTTCATTGTTACTAATATTCAAACCCAACAAATAAACCCCTGTGAATTTCTCTAGCACATCAAAAGAATCTAATACATTATCAACCTTGCCACTTGAAGTTCCCTTGTTCTTTGCATTTTTAGGGACACTAGCAAAACTATTAAAAACAACCTCTTTGGACTTCTTCTTTGGCTTACAGAGTACAGACGAGACTCAGAAACTATATAAACTTTGCCTGTATACTTATTGTGTACCTAATTTCATTTGCTTTAATAATTAGATTTCAAGGAAAAGAAAAGGGGCCAACAAAAAAGTGTGTTTGTACATGCACACTTACATTTCTTCACCAAATTTAACTGACCTTCAAATAGGTAAAATTAGCATTGACGCACAACGCAAGATTGCTAGGAAGAGTCCATGGCGTTGTTGTCCAAGCCATAAAAGATGTACTATGTGGATTGTCCAACACCGGAAACCTCATGAACACTTCAGGGTCAGATACATCATGCACCAATATAGAATTTTAGATGCTGATTATAGATATTACTACAACAAATGTATGTCATTATCCAATATATGTGTTTGAATGGACGTTTCTTAAACATGATTTTGAATGTAAAATCGACTTCATAAAAAATGATTTGTAACATTCTGATAAGGAAAAAAATCAAGGAACAAAAATTCTTACAAATCAAAAAGACATCCCCACACTAAGGGTAAAGGGCACAAACTATTTAGAACATTCTGATAAGGAACAAAATTCAAGATATATAAACAAAATTCTGATAAGGAACATTCTATTAAATACATATATGTATACTAGGATGATTTATTTTGATTTACCTTCCGTGTTTGTTCATCTTTTGCCCAACAGTGCTACTAAGGCAACTCTTGTAGCAACAGAATGTTAAATAGAAAAAAAAGAAGATATATTTAAGAACTTACCCAATAATTTAAAAGTTTCTGAATTTGCATATAGTTCAATCTGCAACATCAAGATCATTTAACTAGTGAGATTCTTCATCCTGCCTCATTAAACACCAGACCTGAAATGACAATTATAACTTGAAAAGTCAGCAAGATATTCAATTAGACATCTTAAACTTATATTCTGACATAAACCTTTCAATTGCTTAACTAATAAGTTATGACATCATCTGGTCCCAAGAATTTATACATCCTTCCAAAAGAACAACAACACAAAAGTGATGACATCATGTGGTCCATTTGCCTATAATTTTTTAGTATTTCCATTTCACAGACAATACCTATATTTATAAAACAAATCCATGTATACCTTGCCACATTAAAGCATGGTTGAAAACTATTATGATATTCTCAAATTTGGAACAATCAATATGTAATTTAAGATGACTTACCCCAAAAACTATTATCACTCCTACAACATTAAATAAATCTACATACAAACCACGAAAACCATCCACCTGCACTTCTTTATGGATAACATCAAATGTACACCAAGCTCTCAAATGTCCTTAATACCGCTTTCAACCAAACATAAGATAACCATGTAAACACATTTCATGAACCAAATGTGGTAGAAGTTTCTATCAATAACTATTTTTTTAGCTCAATCTTAACCTTAATTTATTGTATCCAGTCTCTTGAAAATTGGAATTAACAATCTATCATTTTCATATAAAGAGAAAGGATAAACAACAGTAAAAGTTATGTTTCAGGAATTTACATACTAAGTATAACAAACTTTAGAAATGAGTTTCCATATAGAGATTATAATAAACTTTTGAAAATATTAGGTTTTATTTACCTCTTGTAATCTCACAATTGGATTATGTAAGGATCAAGTCTTCAATCATTTTTTCCTCCTGTCTTCTGTTTCATCTTGATGAACCTCATCGCGATCAAATTATTTATCAACTCAAAAACAAAGAGCCTATGGTTAAAATGGAGCAAAGTAGGGAAGAAGAATCAATATTTACACTGTAATCAGAGTAACAAAACGCGCAATAGAAAGTGAAATAACCCTAGAATTGAGATGCTCGAAATGGATGTCAACTCTAGTTGATACCTTTCTCAAATGCTAAAGCAATACCGATCTAACTCGGCGTAAATTAAATGAAAGTAAAAGAATATTGTAGCCATACATGTGAAGTTGGTGATTTTCCTCCATCACTATCCGTTCCACTTTTGCATTTAGTGAAAAATTCAAGAATTACTTATGTTGTTGTCCTACCTCAATTTTGTATGAGGGTCATTCATTCATCTCATTTGAATTATTAGTCAATCATTCATTCATTTAGATTGACCAAAAGTAAATTTAAATTAACATTTATATTGTTTTATAGTTGGAAATGTTAAATTGTAATTCGATTGTGTCGAAACAGTGTGTCGAAGGGAGGTTGTCTAGTCGAAGAGTTTGTGGATCGAAGCAAACTACACACGGATTTGATTGGTTTTAGATTTAGATAGATTTGATTTAGATTTAAAAATAGATAGATTTGATTTAGTACCAAAATAGGTATTTTGCGTTTTTATAGTTTTGGACTTTGACTTAGGGAGCAAGCTAACCTAAATCTATAAATAGAGGGAGTAACCTCTAATTTTGTAATTAAGCCAATTCATTGTAATCACAGAATTTGTAGTTGCAAGTGATTAATAAAGTTTTCTAAAATTTGTGGGCAGAGAGAAACTCTGCAGAAAATAATTGTCTTCTTTCTTTTCTTTTCTCATAATTCATTGTCATTGTATGGTGATATCAATCTTGTTCATCAAGATTGGTAGAAATTCATCATAGATATTTGGTGGGTTTCTAACATCTGATATCAAGAGCTCGTTTAATCGATTCAAGGGAAGTATCGATCAAGAACGATTGAGGAAGAAGAAGAATTCACGATGGCGAGTTATGAGAATGCAAATTATCCAGCAACTCTATCAATTCTGAAAGTAGACAACTATGAGAATTGGTGCAAACAGGTGAAAGTTTTATTCAGGTGTCAAGGTCTTTGGGATCTTGTAAAGGATGAATTGGAAGCGCTTGGAGAAAATGCTTCAGAAGAAGAAAAGAAGAAACACACATAATCTGAGAAGATGAGTTATAAAGCACTCTTTATAATTCATCAATGTATGAGTCCATAAAATTTTGAAAAAGTGAGTGATTCAGAATCTGTAAAAGAAGCTTAAGAGATTCTTGAGAAGTCTTTTGATGGTGCAGAAAAGGTGAAAGAAGTGAGGTTACAAACTCACAAGAGAACGTATGAATTGTTTCAGATAAAAGATAGTGAGAGCATATCCGATTTCTTCACTAGGGTTACAAAATTAGTGAATAAAATCAAGATATGTGGAGAAACATTAACAAAAAGAGTTATTGTTTCGAAGATTTTGAGATCTTTGACTCCTAAGTTCGACCACGTGGTGGTGACTATAGAAAAGGGGGAAAACTTGTCAAAATTGACAAAGAAAGAGCTTCAAGGGACGCTTGAATCTCATGAACAAAGAATGACTGAAAGAGCTGTAGGCAAGTCGAAGAGTGATGTGACTTGCAGGCACATTCAACAAAAGAAACCAAAGGCAAAGGAAAATGGTTCGGCAGAGGTAGAGGCGGCTACAACAAATCAACTGGTAGAGGAAACCAGAACAAAGGAAACGTTTCGAATCAGAGAAGACCATACCAAGGAAACCAAAGAGGTGGTGTTGCAAATAGAAGAAGAAGTGGTGGTCGAAAACCTTACAAGAGTCGCATTCAATATTAAAATTGTCATAAGTATGGTCACTATTCGAGTGATTGTCCAGAAAATCGAAAGAATCAAGAAAGTGATGCAAAGTTTGCAAAACATGAAGAAGAAGAGATGATGTTGATGGTAACAACAAGAGATAAAGATAGATTCAAGGACCAATGGTACTTGGATTTAGGATGTTCATCACATATGTCTAGAAGGAAAGACTGGTTTGTCAACATAAAGCCCTCAATGAAAAATATTGTAAAATTTGCAAATGACAATACCCTAGAAGCTGAAGGTATTGGTGATGTTATGATTATGATGAAAGATGGCAAGAGGTCAGTAATTTCTAATGTGTTGTACATATCAGGAATGAAGAGAAATTTTCTCAGTATAGGGCAGTTGGTCGAAAAGAATTATAAAGTGTCGATCGAAGATAAGATGATGAGAGTCATCGACGCAAATGGAAGATTAATCCTGAAGGCTCCTATGTCTCAGAATAGAACCTTCAAGATCGAACTAAATGTGATGGAGCACAAGTGTCTTTCGACTACTTAGCTCACTTTTAAAAATTTGTTTGTGGGTGTGTGATTTGTTTGAGAATATTTTGAAATGCTAATGTAAGGCGGACTTTGTAATAATTCTTGTATTAGTCCTCAAGAATGTATACAAAGTGCTTTTTTTGAAAATATTTTGTTTGAAAGTGATGTGTAAAAATGTATTTGTTTGTGAAAAAGGTTGGGAGTAAGCATTCAAGAGTTCTTACCCACTAACTA